TTTGGATTCTTCATATTTTCATTTGATTTCTCTATAGAATTAGTTAATTGTTGCTCATCAACTTGTTGAATGGGCGAATTGTGATTAGATTCCAATTTGATATCTTTCAATTCTTCCTGATTATTATTATTATTAGTATCATTGCTTGTAATGTTATGAAGAGTAACTTGTTGAGAAGTGGTTAAATCATTAAGGGATGCAACTTTCCATTGCTTTAGAATATTTCTTACTTCCTTATTTTGACTCTTCAACCTTTCGAATACATCTGTCATATCCTCAATACAATGCCATTGAATATTATCAAAAAAGTTTGTTTCCAATAGTGGTGTAGTTTCAATTGCTTTGGATATTTGTTCAAACATTTGAGAAAGTTTTGGAAAGTTCAATTCGAGAGGTGAATTTGGTTTCAGATAAGTTTTAGTAATGTGAAGTGCAGCTTGCTTTCTATTTTTCTTATTTGTCAATTTAAATCTTTCAATATCTTGATAACATAACACAGATTCAGGACAGTAACTTTAAATCATTATTAGAAACTAAACTAATTTTACACTTACCTTCTTCTAGCAAAATCCAATAAAATATTAAAAGTTTTCTTACTTTTTAAAAAGTGTTCCAATTCAGACTCTTCCACTCTTTCCTTTTTCGTGCGATTCAATAATACTATAGAATATAATATTGGCAACAAGACACATATCACAACCTCAGTAAATGAATAAACCATTAAGGTAAACCCAAATGGAACAAAAAAATCAGTCAACTTGGTCACCTGTACCAAAAATCCACAAATTGCAAATAAAATAATTGAAAAGAATTGCAATAAGGTCAATAATAATGTCTCTCTCTTAATAAACCACGTATCTCTAGGAATGATAAAGCACAACACTAAAAAGACAATCTCCACCACAATATAAAACAATGATTCAATGGCTACTATAATTGTAATGGCATTGGTAATGACACATCCCCTCGAGGAGACAAAGAAACCACCATCTCCCATGAAAATTCTTTGATTATTTGATTTGATTGGATCTTGATTGTAAATTCCCTCCTCAACAGCTCCAAAAAATATGAATAGTAAAATGTGAATAATGAATGAAGTGAGATAGGTGGCAATTACAAATTTCTGACTCAGTAAAATGTTGAAAATCTTTTGAATTTTGACATTCTTTTTCATTTCCAATTCATTTTCAATCCAATATGAATAATTATCACCATCAGATGAAGTGGCATCACTGGAATCTTGATTATTATTGATAATGCTTTCAACATTTGACAATTGACTTTTTGGAGAATTCATATTTGAATTATTTGGAACTACTTTCATTGAAGATTTCAAATTTTCATGATTAGTTTCCTTTCTATTCGAATCCATTTTAGTTATATATACCAATAAAAATACAATTGAAACAGCAGATGTCAACCAAGTGTCAGGACAAATAGAATAAAGTAGATTAGGTCCATCTCTACTAAAATCACCTAATTGAAATAATATTGGATTACATGTTCCATAATTTGTAGAATTAGTAGAATTAGTAGAATTAAATAACATTGTGTCATTATAAATGTCATATTTGTTTTTAATGGAGATTAAATTAAACATTGTCTTTTCGTAGTAATAAATATAATGATGACCATTCATAGATGCAGATAATTCACCACCAAACTTCATAGATAATGGATTTATGGCCATAACTTGTTGATAATTAAGTACAAGAAATAACGATACTAGTAAGAGAAGAATAATTTGTTGTTGTTGTTGGCGTTGTTGGAGAAGACACTTTTTGAAAGAATGCAACAAGTGTTGATGAGATAAGAGGTGCATTTTTTGATTGTGTCAATTATTTGCCGGCATCTTTTCAAAGTGTCATCAACATTCAGTCTGAACGCTCACAAACCATTTTGGTTGATTGNGTCTTTTATGA